TTAACTTAATTATAAATAAATAAAGTGTAATTTAAGTAAATTAAAATAAAGTATTAGCATATATAATAAAAGTAATATAAGTATATTTATAATGCAATATAAATGCATAAGTAATAAATTATAAAGGCAAACTTATAAGTAATTAAGTAACATTAATTATAATATAAATCCTTAGTTTTAATTAAAGATAATGCAACCATTTTCTTATAAAAAGGTATATAAGGTTTAATAAGTTTCTTAATACTTTACTTAAAGTAAATTTAATAAAAAATAATAATATATAATATTTATATTTATTATAATCTACCCTAAGGGTTAAGCTTTATAAGATATTTTTTAAAATCTACTTTTAAGTTAATATTAAATAAATAAGGGGTTAATAAATAAAATATATTAATAACTTGCTTTAAATCTATATTTATAATAATTGCTTTTTAAGATTAAAAAGAAATATTATAATAAAAAAACTAATTTAAAGAAAAATTATAAAAACTTTAGGCTTAAAAGATATATTTAAAAAAAAGGTAATAAAAATAAAATATATTAAAATTATTAATATATATATAAGTTATAATAATAATTATATAAAAACATTAATAATATATTAAGGTAAAATAAGGGGAATATATATATCTTTATTAATAATTAAATTAAATAACCTAAATATTAATTCATTTTATTTTATTTTAATAATATATTTAAAAGATAAATTTATCTTAAATATATAATGTTTTTTTAATATATTTAGCTGCTTTAAGAAAAAGGTAATAAAGAGATAATTAGTTTTATTAAAAATAATTTCTTATAAATATTAAAAAAGCCCTTAATTAGCACTTAAGAGGCAGAATAATATAATATAATATATATACTTAACTTAGGGACTTTAAGTTAAAGTACTTATGCTATTATAGCATAACATTAATATTTATTTCCTTTAAAAAGTAAATTTAACGTATTTTATGCATTAAACTATGCAATTTATTTATATTATTCCAGCTCTTATAAATATTTATAAATATTATGCTATTATATTAGCGTAATAATTCCTATATTATAAGATATTAATAAAGCTTTTTTAAAAAAACTCTTAATTAATACTTAAGAAATATTATAAATTTATTAAGGAAGTATATTAAGATTTATTATTAAGTTATTTATTATTAATATAATATTTTATAATTACGTTTCTTTTAACTTAAGTATTTTATTAATAGGGTTAAACTAATGCCTTTAATATATTTTATATATTATTATTACTATTTTAATAATATAATTTTAATCTTTAGGTATAAAGAATTAAAAAAATATGCTTAAATAATTCCTTAAAATTATTTAGCCTTAGCTTTAAGGATAATTAATACTTAGTTATAATTATTAATTATAATGCCCTTAAATTACTCTTAATATTAGCTTACTATACTTAATAATATATCCTTTCTTTTTCTTAACCTAGCTGTAAAAGCTTAATGCAGCATATATATTAACTTTATCTCAACGCCTTAATTATTCTTAAAGAAAGGCAATATTTATATCTTAGCTTGCATTTAAGGTTTTAAAGAAATATTATTTTAGTAAATTTATTCTTTAATTAATATATTAAACGATATTTTGCTTTTATATATGCTATATTTAATTTATAAATAATGTTAATAATATTTTTATATATAATTAAAGGAATTTATATTTACTTTGCTTTTTATAATAATAAGAATTAAATAATATAAGCTATTATAATCTTTATTATAATATTGCTTATATATTTTACCAGCTTTAAATGCTTAATGAATTGCATAATACCAGCTAAATAGCATTAATAAAATATCTTTTATTAAGCCCTTAAATACCATACCTTATAATTACTATATATATTATTAACTTCCTTACTTAATATTAAATTAACTTTTACTTCTCCCTTATTTCCTTTATAATATATATAAAGGTGCCCCTTAAATCTTTATATAAATAAGAATAAATTCTGCTTTTAATATATATAAACTTTTGCATTATATAAATAATCTTTATTAAAAGGCTGTACTTATATTTAACATTATATTTATGCTTAAAGCTAAATTATATTTAATTTATATATTAATACTTAAGTCCTCCTTATATAATAAATAAAACTTATATTATTAAAAAGCTATAATGCTTTATTTTTTATATAATATTATATATTAATAAGCATAGCAATTCCTTACTTATTGTTATTTAAGTAATTAAATATTAATAAAGCATACTTAATTTTACTTATAATAATTAAAATATTATTATTATTATTACCTTTAATAATATAATATATTAGCTTTAATAAAGTAAGATTTAGCCTTAAGCTATTTCTTATATCTTTCTTAAATTATATATATATATTAATTTAAGGCATGCTTAAGAGTTTACTTAAACGTTAAATATATACCTTATTGCTTATCTTTATTATTTCCTACTCTTTATCTTAATTCTTATTTAAGTTTGCATTATTAATTTCTTAAGTTACTTTTTATTAATCTTTATTTTATTAAAATAAACTTTTTATATTAAGTAAAATAAAGTAGTTATTCTTTACTTAAATTAATAATAATAAATAAATAAAAGGCATAGTAAAATAATAATAAAAAGTTAATATAAATAATATATAAGTATATTTATAAAAATATTTTAAAAAGCTAGTTTTTAAATCTTATATAATATAAATAATCTTTAAGGTTTATATTATAATTTCTTTTAAGTAGTTTTAAAAATGCCCTTTATAACTCTTTTAGCCATTTCTTTTTAACCCTTATTTACCTTTTATCTTGCTAATGCATTATTCTTAGCTATTATTATTATAATAACTATTAATTTAAGCAATATTAATATATCTTTATATATTAAGTATTATTTATAATAATATAAATATTACATTATATAATATATTTTACTTTATAATGCTTATTTTATAATATATATATAAAATGCATTAAAAGCATTATTTTAAATATATTATATTATAAATACATTTCCTTATAATCTTTTTAGCTATTTCTTAATAATTTCCTTTTTATATTAAATTTATTTTATATATTTTTTTTAAAACTATTTTTAAATATATTTTATTTAAGTGCTTAATTCTTATTTTATATTACTTAATTCTTAATAAATATCTTTTATTATGCTATAAAGGCTATTTTATAATTTTAAATAATAACTTATAAAACTTTATATAATATTTACTTTAATTATATTTAAAATTTATTTAAGCTGCATTTAAAATGCATTTATAATGCACTTTTATTACCTTTTAAAAGCTTTTAAAACTTATTTTAAATAAATTAATCTTTTATTTAAATACTTACTTAATTCTTATTAACTTATTATAAAATACATTATTAAGCTATAATTTTCATTTCCTAAGTATACTTTTTATATATCTTATTTTATATATAAATCCCTATCTTTTTTACACTTAACCTCTTTAGGCTAATGTCATCCTTATAATTCCTGCCGAGCTTTAGCGCATTCTTGCCGAGCTGCATACCGATGTTCTGCCAAAACACCAGGGGCACGAAGCGACGAGTTAATCGCGACCCTTCGGCGACGAGCAAGGCGACTATGCACCGAGTGGGATGGACTGTTTTATTTCCGCGGGAAGGTTGAGCCCAAGGTCAGATCTTGAAGATGAAGACACCGTGCGAGCGCGGGATGGACATGATGTGCTGCTCTGTGCTGGGTAGCTCAAGTCGCATCCTCGCAAAGTCAGTACCAGGGGCAGGGAGGATTATTGCTCCCCTCGGAACATTGCCATTCCACAAGGACAAGGTTCAGCTGATGAGTGGTGCGGCAAGTCGCTGCCCACGAAGGAAGGAAAAAAAAAAAAAAAAAAAAAAAAAAGGCTCGTGAGGAAGCGAGAGGCAGGTTGGGAGACGCATGTCGTCTTTGGTCTGAGACCTGGCGAATCAGACGGGGTGGGAAAGGAGTCGGCGCTCGCAAGATGGCCCAGACGGACAGGCTGGCTGGCTGAGAGAATGGGTGGCTGATTGGCCGGCGAACCGATAGATTGATTGATTGACAGGCTGACTGCTTGATTGCTTGATTAATTGACTCTATCGTGATGGGGTTTGGACGGCCCTCGACTCATGAGACCGGGGCAATGTTCGGCAATCTCGGACCATTTCTGCTCCTGCATCTGCAATCCGCATCCACCTGACTGCTGCTGACTGCTGGGTGCCGGGCCAGCCAGCCAGCCAGTCAGTCAGTAAGTCATCACTAAGTCAGTCAGTGACCCAGCTGGGACAGCGTCAGTTGCCCAGTCGTCAGTCGCCCAGCGAGAGCCCAGAGGGTGTGTGAGTGGTGGTTCGGGTGAGGTTTGGCAGTGAGATCCGTCCATACGGATACTCCCCCCCCCTCCCCCCCGCGCCCGCGAATCAACAAGATCCCGAGCACCCACCGCCCAGGAGGAGCAGCCCTGGAACACCCCAGCCCCAGCTGGTGCAAGTTACCTTGCCAATCCTGGAACTTTGCAGTCGCCATCCGCCGCCCAGGAGGTCCAAACAGCCAACCAGCGCTGTCCGGTGCCAAGCTTACCCAATTTACCCCCATGTAACCTCAGGCCGACGACGACCTGCCAACCTCAGACGACCGAACGGCCGACTGTCTATCGAACTGACCCTCCTGCTGTCTGCTATCTCGAGCTTCACCCTCCTCGCCACACCCGGACCTTCCATCCTGGGACTGCTGCTTGCGTCTTTTCCACCTTCTTTTAATCCTGCGGCTCTGTGCACCACCTCTCGGGCACCAGACCAGCACCTCGCCTCGTCTCGTCCTCGCGATCGCACGCGGCACTTGGCCCCTGGAAGCCTCCTCGAGCACACCGACCACCAGCCCCGGGCCCTACAGGAGACATCCCCACGGTCGTCGTCGTCGCTCCGGTCTCCTCCTCGGGCCACCCTCCCCGAGCCCCCACCCCACCTGGCCCGTCCTCGCCGACCAGACTCCATCTCGATGGCGCACCTACGTCTCTCATAGCGATGTCCTCACGACCCCCGATGGGCGTGCCCCAGCGACAGCCTCCCTCGAGATCCCTCAGCGGTTCGAGCTCCCTGTCGCAACGGCCTGCCCATCAGCGTACTCTGTCATCCCAGTACATACCTTCCTCCCCCATACGCAATAACAACGCCAGCAGCACTAGCAGCAACAACAACATCTCCGCAGACTTTGCCGCAGATGCGAGCAGTCAGAACAGCAATGCCACCCAAACACAGTACGGAACCCCGCGGAGGGGCGGCTCGCGCCTCAGGCTCGAGTTGTCCAACCAGGGCATAGCACACTCCGGCTTCATCGAATCCCCCACCAGCGCCGGCCCCCTCGACCCATTCAAGTCCTTCGCCTCCTCGCGGCCTGCCGCGCCGAGCATGTCCGGCGATGTATCCGACCTGGGCGATATGAGCAGTCCCCAGACCTCCAGGGGTGCTCCGACCGCAGACAACGACAACAACCCGCTGCCCATGCCGAGGCGGCGCACGCGCTTCGTCGTCCCCGATGCGAGGAAGGACGTTGCCGCCCCGGCCCCCGCTCCGGTGAAAAAGGATATCCGCCCGAAACCATATACTGTTGAGGTCCCACCAGCCGCGCCCCGATACCTTGCGCTCAACGGCTCGGGCAAGACTGACTCTTGCTCGAGAACCGGTGCCACGAACGCGCCTCCAACCGCATACGCAGATTTCAACCCTTGGACCGGCGACGGTCCTGAAGACCACTTTACCCAGACCTTTATACAAACCGGTTTCTTCGACAAGGCGCCTGTGGCACAGGTCGAGACTTCTTCAGCAAAGGGCGCAATATTTCCCAGTCTAAAACACAAGAGCGGACTGTACGCGCTTTCCACCGTCTTTACCGGAATTCTCGGGTCAAGGCGACACAACGGCCAGATCAACTCTGCCTCGACCTTCAAGCCACCTCCGCGAGTGACTGTGACGGATACAAAGAGGGAGGGCTGGCTGCGGGATCTTGCCAACCCGACAACCTCACTTCGACGACTTAGCAGGACAATCCCACACGGCATCAGGGGGAAGGGCCTCCTGGAGCAGTGCCTCAACAAGAACATCCCAACAGACCGTGCTGTCTGGTTGGCCAAGTGTGTCGGGGCGAATGAAGTACGAGCTTTCAAACGCAAAGGTGTCAACGGCGCGGTCGTCATGGGCGGAGAGGCAAAATGGGTCCGAGACTGGACCATGTTTGTCGAACAATTCGTCGATGGTGTTGTGTCTTCATTTGAGGATGCCGAGTGGAAAACCAAAGTCAACTACGCGTAAGTGTCTCCCCCCTTGCTGCGTGCTGCGTGCGTACTGACGCCCTCCAGATTACGACTCGCCACACATCTATACGCCGAGCACCTACTAGACCGTGAGCATTACATGGAATGGCTCGTCTCTGGACTGGAGACTTGTTCTCAGGCGAAATTGCCCATGTGGCTCTTGGTGACACAGATATACTGGAAAGACCTTTTGAGGCTGAGGAAGTATGGCCGGCGCCTTGTAGTCGCCCTGCTCAACCAGAACACGACCGTGAGATTGAACTCCAGAGAGACCTGAGACCTGAGGAGTTGCTGACCACCAGAACAGATTCAAAATCATCCCGACCACGACATCCTGGCTCCACTGTCGTCGAGAATAGCAACTCTGCTCAAGACTCTGATGGTTTCGAGCGCGACCAATTTTATTTCCCCCCTCGGCATGGGCCAAACACCGCGATGCCCTATCTTCGATGTTGCCTGCAGACGACGAGATGGTTCAAGCAGCGTACAGAGCAATACACGCTCGCAACGAGCAGCTTGTGTCTAGCGTACGAGCACCACCCGCAACACGGCACGTCATTGTCAAGATACTTGATGGGTCTCTTCAGACGCCGATGCCAGACGACCTACCTACAAAATGCTGGAATATGTCGAGAGACCAGGGAACCCTGGTCAGAACAATCCTGGAGTGGTCTACCTCGATGTACCGTCCTGGGTTGGCCAGAATCTATGTTGCGTGCCGCCTTCTGTCCACTTGGGCGACTTTCGGCTTGGACACAACGGCCGCAATTCTGGACTTCATGAACACTGACCCACTAGAGGAGCTGGAACGAAAAACTTCCTTGTACCACTTGGTCTCCGAGCTGGCTTCATCTGGCTCTTTTGACCCTCTCATATATGTGCAGTGGCTCATAGCCCGCGGTGGGCTGCACGATTCGGACAGCGTCATGCGAGACGGACCGGCCAGCAGCCGACTGTTGGTGGAGCTACCGCTCCACGCCCTCTCCCCGTCGCTGAGCAGTATGCGTTCCAATATGCTGGGGAGGGCATCTTACAGTGTCGAAGACGAAGCGAAGGATCAAGAAATGGCCATCAATTGCATCAAAGGCAGCCTAGGGCTTCACTGGAGCCCGGCCTCGAAAAACATCGCTATTCCTATTGGCAAACTCTGCAAAAGGGTCAGTCTGAGCAGTCGGTCCTTGAAGGTAGAGATCGGTCAGTTCATCCGACGGACCTTTGTACACGAGGTGACTCAGGGTCAACTGGCTGGAAAAGAGGGCCTCCAGCTTCCTTGTTCAACATTCAATGGTGTAAGATCCATTCTGGAAGCTGCAGAAGATTTCCAAACCCTTGCCGATCTTCTGAAGACAACGACTGGCTTCCATGATGCTGACATACTGTCCTCATCTGCTGATACACTCAACCTGCATCTCCCAGTCTTTGGCGCTCTCAATACTGCGAAGAGTCTATTTGACACCCTTTTGGGGAGGCTTGACAACATCAAGCAGATCCAAGGTCTTGCAGGGATGCGTCCTCTACTGACCTCGATGGCTATGCTCGCGCCTCGGATACCAGGGCAAGAAACCCTCGTCAGCTACCTCAACGAAACCATCCGCAACGATCGGAGCAGTGCGGTCGACGCGTCGTCCCCCGTCAGCGATAACATGGCCGCCCGAATCCAGGATGAGGAAGGTGAGCTCCTGGATGAGATCGAGAAGAGGCTTGCGAACAAGACAAGCATGGACCGTACTACAATGAACAGCTTCTTGAACAAAATCATCCCCAAAGTTCAAGCTTGTTGGGGCATGGTAGATGAGAGGCTACGGGCGTACAGCTCCCTTCTCACAAGGCTACGGCACTTTGACATGCAGCATTTCGACTCTTTCATGGCCAAATGGGTCCTGGGCATCCGAAACCCCCAGACTCGGCCACCCCTCGCCCGCATATTCCCCCTCATGATTAGCGTGGGATGTCTCAACCTCTCGATAATCCTTACTACGACCGGAGACGCTGCATCTGCCACCGGGAGTCCTCACGCCGCTGGCAAAACCGCTGGACCACCGCCGACATACGTCCAGGAGGTGCTGGAGATGCTGACTACGCCGCCAACGTCGAAAGATCTGTTGACGCCAGAGGAGACTTATCGGTTCAAAATCCTGCAAAACCAGGCACCTAAGTCGCACCTCAAGGAACTGGTCGCCCTGGTGCGCAATGCCTTGGCGGAATTTTGTGCTTCACAGGCTCGAGGTGGGCCCGAAACAGCTCCATTGGCTGATGCCCGTGCTCAGAACCGTCTCATCTGCTTCGTTAGGACGCTCATTCTCTCTGATCAAGCTGTTGTGCCTAAGTTATTGTCCATGAAAACAGCGGACCCTGCGGTGATTCAGATGATGGACGATATTGCAACACGACTTCTACTTCCGCACAGTGCCCAAGGAACCCATATTACCTTTGACCAGGTGCTTGGGCTTGCGAATGAGCTCACTTTGCCCTTCTGTCAACTGAAGCTGTCTCAGGGGTTCGGATCCAACGATAATGTCTCCGGAACCACCGCCCAAGACCGGCAAGCCAACCAGCTCGAGATTTTTGCGAAAGCCATGGACAACGCCATCGATGCACGCAACATAACCTGGACGGGGATGCTTCCTACTCTCAGCCCTGAGATCACTCAGCATCTCCTCACCCGCGCACAGACTCGCTTTTTCGACCTACTTCCCTCAAAGGACCGGCCCCAAACCCCTGATGGTGGTGTGGCTGCCGCAGAGAGTCTGCTGTCTGTGATCGATACAATCGGCCGCGGTGGTTTGATGGGTTCTCGGTCTCCGCTGCAGCTTGCTTCAGCTACGGTCGACCGGCTAGCTGAGATGTGGGAACTCCTGGCGTTGCCATCGGAGTCGGATGTCAAAGTCACTGTCCTCCTCAACTGGCTCCCACTCATGTTGTCGTACCTGACACTTCAAGCGCATGTCCACGACGCCGCTAACAAGGCAGCCAATGAAGTTCGCGGGCGCGCGTTGCTTGTCTTGTCCGGGATCATACAGGAGCTTGACGGTCTCATATCGCTTGCTACCTGCGACCCCCGGATACCCTCGAACCAGACCGTCTACCTGATACACCGCGTTTTTGATGTCGCCTTGCTTCTGGTCGACACTCTATCGGATGAGATACGCCAGCAATGCATTCGTATCCTGCGTGAAGCCCTGTCGGACTCCCGGCTCAGGTACATATTCAGCTCCACGCCGGCGCCACTCGACAACCTCATGCTATCCCACAAGGACAAGCCGGCCTCTTCACAGCAGACGCAGAGTCAGGGTAATCAGGGTAGCCAGCAAGGGCAGCAGCAACGGCCGCGTGGCGCTGGGTTCCTCGGTGTCGGCGCTGCTGGTGGCAACATCTGGGGTAATGCTGTCGGCCCAGGTGGGCAGGGGCAGGAGAAACTGAGCGCGTTCACCTTCAAGAGATGGGAGATTCTGAACGAGCCCACGTCCAATGTGGGAGAGAACAACACAAGCTTGAGCTTGACGCTTTTCGAAGCCATCAAGCTGCACTAAGAAACCCCCCGAGGGAAGAGGAGGAGTGGCTCCGCTACATATTAGATGGAAGGCACATAGGGTGTGCCGTACATGTGGGATTTTTGACGTTTGAACCGTATGCGTGCATATATACTGTCGTTCATGAAGTCACGGCGTCATGATGATTACCGATCTTTTTTTCATTTGTTTACTTGGGAGGGAAAGGGGGCAAGTCACGTGTGACGGTGCATAGTAGCATTAAGGGGCGGATGGGATCATCGATAACCTACTTCAATACGTAGGATGCATTCTCCTTTGTACACAGGCCACGCAGGTGGGTACACTTTTCATGTGCCAACATCCCTGCTGATGGACCTCGGCGTTTTGTTATCTTGGTCTGTTTTCTTTTTCGTTTTCTGTCTCCTGCTTCATTGCTGGATTTCAGTCCACCATGGTTATTCATAATCTGACGGAGGAAGATGGAGACTTGAATATCATGATAAGAAATATTCCCTCCTGGCTCTAACATGTGATATAGCCTGCTCATGTACGGGCGGCCGACTACTTGATCCTCCGCTCCGGGTTGCTCAGAACGTACTGACCCGGACAAAGAGCGAGACTTTGGCTCGAGCGGGTGGCCATAAATAGCTCGGTGTGGAAGGAATATGCTGCAGTGGAGCGGCAGTCCATAAAGGGGAATATATATTTCGTCGGATGAGCCTGTTGACCTATTTCCCTGCGGTAAACTCCATTTCCGCCATCTTTTCTCCCACGTGCATGTCATGTTGTGGCAGTGTCCTCTGCATGTAAGATCGTGGGAAAGTTAAAGACACCTCTTGTGTGCTGACAAGGCGAATAGCAGAAGCAAGCATCCTGTGCTCTTTCCGCCTTAATCAAGGATGGTGCTGCCATTCTGTTCCCATCCGATGTGTCACCAAGTCATAGCACATTACCAGAGCAAATACAGCACAGGTCTACTTTACTTCAAGAGAATGGATATTCGCAGAGCAAAAAAACGGATGATACAGAGGTACATACTCACTTACATACTACCCGCCAATTTGCACACCAACTGGCACCCCAATTCACCCCCCCCCCCTCCCCCAACTTACACGCCCACTTCTCAAAGTCACAGCTCGAGGAACCCAACAGCGGCACCCGCTTAGTACGATGTTTACAGAACAGTCTGCACGACTTCTGTTTGTCTTAGCTACCGGAACCCATTTCATGATACCAATCCTTGTCCGCCATGGGGACAGGATCGACCATGTCCAGCGCGCTGCCCAAGGCCTCCATGTAGCCTATAGCCGAGCATCTACACGGTACCAAAGATTTGCCCAGGCGTGTAATTATGCACACACTGAAATGACAGATTATTTTCAAATGGCTGATACCAGTCGTAAATCTACTAGGGACGGCATTCCTCATATCCAGGGATGGAGTCCTTGAAAGTATGTTCTAGCATTTGGTTTCCATATGCCTGGGGCCCAGTACATCCAGAGGGCCAACAAAGTAAGACGCTTTTGACGCTGAGAAGTATAGAAGATCAGGGGAAATCTTCAACACATCAAAACAATAAAGACGCGAATTCCAGTATCGCCAGGATTTGTTTGACGCTCTTTCGCCACAGGCCACCAGGCTGTACAAATGGGAAAGAAAACGAAGAGAAGCCATATTGAGCGCCTTACAGCCAATTTGTTTCATTTGCAGTGAGTGGGGCCAAGCTGGAAGACTTTCTAAACAAGTATGCATTAATGCTAAGGATTGTCTCAACGACTAAATAAAAGAGAGCGTCTGCAAGTAGTCAACCTGCCACGGGTCCGACTATTGTACCTCTATGGGAAACCATTGTCTCTCCAAATCTCGAGCCAAAGCCACCACTCTAACCATCTCCAGAGGGGCCTTCTCTCCTCACTGGCATGTCATGAGCAGGTTGGAGGCGAGGTATCCACAAGCACCGTTGTTGGTGTCCGCAGCAATCTTTGAGCTGCGTCAGCATGCGCCACAAGCAGAGCTCATGGGTGTGAGGTGTCACTTACGTTGATGAATCCGCCATCTCCATTGCCTTTGAACTCGCCTCCACTCTTCAAGTAGAAGCAGTCATAGCTAGGCAGGCAGCCATGGTCAGCATCGCCAATGACAATAGGCGAGTACTCATACTCGCAGGAAGTTAGAGGAGGCTGGAGGAGACTCACTCGGCCTTGAGCTTGCCAGACGTGACTTTAAGGCTTGTAACGAGATACACGAGGGCTTCTAGAACCAGATTAGGGAACTAAATGGGGTTGCTAACAGCCAATTTAATGAAAGTATCTCGCAGAGTATGTATATGTATTAAGAGAAGCTAATGTTAGGCGGGTTATGGAAGGTATGGTGTATTAAAAGAAAGGGGAGTGCTTAGTCATCCCCTAATATACCCAGCCCTTAAAAAATGCATATATCCTTATATGCTTTAATATTATTAAATAATCTTATAATTATTTTTTCTTTAAGAGTTCTTAGTTTTAATCCATTTACCATTTATTTTTATTATCCCACTTATTAAATTTGCCAGCCTAGTTAGTAGACTTATTAAGTTTAGCAGCTTCGTTGGTAAACTTATTAAGTTTACTAGCTTAGTTAATAGATTTATTGAGTTTATTAGCCTACTTAAATTTAGCGGCTTAATTAGATTTAGCGGCTTAATTAAATTTATTAACTTAGTTAATAAAAATTAAATTTAGATTTGCAATAAGTATATTTATAATAGCTAGAGTTAAAGCAGAAGTATTAATAGCCGCGACTTAAGGGTTTTAATTAGCAACTTTATTATTATTTATAGCGTAAATATTAATTTATATACCCTTTTTCTCCTTTTTTAAGCCTTAATAAACCTTTTTAAGCTTAATAATCTTCTTACTTATTAAGAATTCTTTAAAGTTATTTAAGTTTTTAGCTTAATTTTTATTTTTCTTTTTATCCTTATTATTAAATTGCTTAAATTTATTAAGCTTTATATCTTTTATTAATATAATAAAAGGCTGCATATTAAGCATTTTTAGGGCGTTATCTTAAAGCAATTTATTTAATTAAGCCTTTAAGTTTAAATAAAGTTCCTTTATTAGTTTCTTAACTTTATTATAATTAACATTATTATTATTATTTTGCTAATTTATTTAGAAATTCTTTTTAAATTATATAAAAGGATTTATATTAAAGTTATATTTATTATTTTCCTATTAATTAATAATTTCCTTATTACCATAGTTTTACTTAATATTTTATTATAAAAGGTTAATAATATTAGGGTTTATAATTAAATTAAGCAAACCCTTTTCTTAATAATTATAGGTATAATAACCTTTAAACTTATAAAAAAATAAATAAGCTTATTATAATTTTTTTAAATAATCTTTTTAATAATGCAGTAAAGAATGTAGCATTAATGGCAAATACTACCCTAATTATAAAGATTTTTATAATATATATTATAAAGTACTTAAATTGCTATATATTAAGCTATAATTTTTGCATTTTATCTTTTAAGCTTAATAAAAAAGTTCTTATTTAAAATGTTAATTAATAAGTACTTAAAGTGTATTTATATAATATTAATGCAATTAGCCTTAAAAAGGAATTCTATATTATTATCTTAAATAAAGCAAAAAATTATAATATTTTATTTACTACTTATTATAACTATTTAGGTATAAACTTTAATAAGGTTATAATAAACTTCTTTATTAAATAAGGCTTATAAGCAAGTTTTAATCTTATTAACTTAAGCATTATAAGGCATAATAATGTAAATTTGGAGCCTTATTATTATATTAATACCTAGAATATAAGATTAGTAAACATAAGCTGCCATTTCCATTAATAGCTAAGCTTATACTATATTAATAAAGCTAATACCTTTCTTAATTATTTTGAATTAATATATTAAAGAGATATAATTATTAAAAAGCAACTTAATTATCTTATTATTAGCAAGATTAAAATCTATTTTAAAAGCATGTATATTATAAATAAGCTATTAAGTAAATATATATTAAGCATAAGTTAAGTTAAAAAACATGTAAGAATTAAAAATGATTTGCATGTTTTTATTATAAAAGATATTAAACGTAAGATCTTAAAGTTCCTTATATTATTAATAGTTTTTTATAAGAAAGGCAATGCAATTAGGTTTTATAGTTATAACTTAATGGGAAAGGGGTATTAAAAGTTAATTAAGGTAGATATTCTTATATTTATTATTTTTATTATACTATTTATTAATAAATAATTTATTTTAATAATGGTTATTAATAAGTATGAAAAGGTAGCAATTAAATGTAGTTTGCGCCTAGCAAACGTGCAATTTAAATTCTTGTGATTTTGAGAGTTTTAATGGGTTGCAAATTGCCAAAGGGTAAATGTTTAGCTAATTCATAAGCGCCATAAGTTGCATAATCAGCAATATATTTTTATACTTAATAACTTATTTATAAAAAGAAGGTTATATCTTAAAGATAAGCTAGGGTTTGGTTAACTCTTATATATATTTAATTATTATAAGCTAAGCAAAGTAATTACTTAATATATAATGCAAGTATAACTAGCTATATAGCATTTCTTTTAAGATAATAAAGGAGATAACTTTAAGGGTATATAGTGAAATTATAAAGAGTTAAGTTTAGGCCTTTTAAATTATTTTGCATTTAGTTAAGCTAAGATATAAGGTAATTATAGATAAAGCGGAATGTTTTATTTTATTAAAGGGCTTAAATAATATCCTTTTAAAAGGATTTAAATATATAAAGCTGCGCTATAACCCTGCCGGCATTTTAAGCCATGGTTACTTTAGCTAAGGGTATATTATACGCAAATATCTTTGCGATAAGTTTCAATGGAATATTTACTTTATATTTCAGAGAAGTTAATAAAGTTATTATAATCCAAGGAATATTAAAAGCTTATGGCTTAAATTAAATTAATTTTACAATATAGCAAGCCTAGCTTTAGGTAATAATATAAGAGCGTACCAAGGATTTAATTATTATTTTTTTAAGTTTAGCAAT